AACCGGAGGAGCATCAGATGCGGAAACCAACCAGGTACCTACCCCCTGTCCTCGCAAGACCTTAGCTCCCCAACCGACCTGTTTAAGCAATGCCTTAACAGTGTTCTTTTCGTATTCAACCGGGACTGCCAACAAACGAAAGCGCCTGGGGCCACCGTCTTCACTGTCGTCCGACTCGTCAAGATCAGGAAAAAGAGACTTCTTGGTCACCGCATACTGTGTAGCACGGACACGCACACCAAAACCTTTCGAAGTACGAACGAGGCCCAAGGGGTCGTCAAGAAGATCAAGTTGCCTTTTCGCGTCCTCACGGGAAAAACCCGGGAAAGCGATCACCTTGAACGCGGGGTCAACGGTCCTTGCAGCGGTTCTTGGGGTAGCATACATACCTTCAATGCCAGAAAGGCGAAGCAAAGGCACGACAAAAGCCTCAAAGATCCTGACAAAGACATGTGCGTACTTGGCCTCATCAGGATTCGTGCGCTTGGTGCCATTGTAATACCCCAGTCCCCACACTTGTTGAATTGTCCTGGACTCACTGAAGCCAATCTTCTTCGAAAAGAAAGCAAGGCCACGTTGCAACTCTACCCAACAGCCGGACTCCTCCCGAAAGACGTGAATCATGACAACCTTGGTCGCGACATGGTCCTCAACGGCAATGTCAGCCTTTGCTTCCTTGTACTTGACTTCAACATCACCAACCTGAAACAGCACCGACCGGATCGCCGAGGAATGTGGACCGACCCAACCTGGAACAACAAGATCAGAACATCTTGAGTTGGGGATGTCCTTGGGTAAGTCCAAAATAGAACACCCACACAGGATGAGCGCTGCTGGGCCAGTCGTGCGACTGCGTTGCAGAATTGCTGGCAGACGATCCAGAATGGCCGGAAGTGGTTCGATGACCAAACCTTCTGCTCCTCGCATAAGTTCATCAACCGAGATGACGGGGAGTTCTTTGCCCTGCACGTGAAAGAAGGAGTCATCAATTCGCATCGTTGGCTGGTGACGGTCCTTCTGCACCTTCTTGGGGACGGGCCCACGTTTCCATGGGTCATTTGCCACAAGTGGATCCTCTTCCTTCCTTTGGCTGGAACTTGCAGCTTTTGCCTCCCTTTCCAAAACCGTGACCAACCGAATGTTCTGCTTCGTCGCCTCCGCTTTGAGTGCAGTCCATGCCGATTTTGAGTCCAAACACCTTTTCACAACTTCAAAGGACAGTTTGTCAACTACCTCCGCAACTCTCGCTTTGACCTCCTTCTGCTCGACACCGTGTTCCTTCAGCAAAGACTGCAATCTTTCTTCTGTGTGCGCTAAGGAGAAAACACCCCCTTTCAAAGGAAACAGACGCATTCTCAAGACACCGGTGGTATTTGCAGCGAGAATCAGGGTTTCAGTGGAAACTGACCGACCTCCGACAAGAATCAAAGGCAGCGCCTTTCCATGGTAGAAGCGCTCGGCAAGATATCCTTGCACCTGACCGATGGTGGCCAGAGCACCAACGGTGATGTGACCAAAGGGCTGTAGCATGACTTGCCCTAAACCAAAACCGACCTGATAGCAACCCGGGGCAAGAGAATCGTAGCAGCTAACCCAAGCACCAGTACGCATGTCGCGCACTGTCTCCAGTTTGGTTGCGACTGCAAAAGGGAAAACTTGTCGCACGTAAAACTCAGCAGTTTGACCCTCTTGCCACTCGGCGACTCGGCGACCATTTGCAGAGTAGATGTGCACCTCATGTTCGTTGACTTCGATCAGGTGATCCAAGAAGGTTCTGTGAGGGGAAAGCATCCAAAGAGGCGACTCCAGATGCACCTTTGCAAATGTGCTTCGTTCAAAGCCAACTGCCAAGGTGCCCAATAACTGGCCCCAAGTTGACAATGGGGACGCGCCAAAACTGAAGTTGTATCTAAACAGTGTGACTGGCTCGAACTCAACATGGACCTCAATGATATCCTCCAGGAGCGTACATTTCCGTATGCACACACCTTTGCCAATGCCGATGATCTTCGTCAGTGCGTCTTGAATGTCGATGCCTTGTTTGAACAACCTATGATGTGAGAGCCACCAGGTATGTGACTGATACACCACCAGAATCTGTCCGTTCTGCGGCAATTCAAAAACTTCAGCCACACCAAACTTCAGGGTAGTACCAAAAGGCCTGATGGAGAGGTTCCGCAGAAAGGGCCACCCACACACCATGAGGGCAACGAGCTCCCGCAGCTCGACTGCAGGAAAGGTGTCAACCAGGCCAAGGTTCCGCAAAACAGGACGGAGCACCTGAAGAACCTGAATCGGAGACACAGAGTTTCCCAGCACCGTAAGGTCTACATCACCGTCCACCGTGAAGGAAAACATTGGGCCGAAACCCAACAACCTTGCGGCCTCAAAAGCATGCAGATACCTTCGTACTGTTCCAAACTTGACTATCCAAGTGTACAAACCTTTCTCAATAAGAGACGACAAGGGAAGCCGAATTTGATGCTTGTACGCTGCCATAAGTACCGGGAGAGGGGCATTAGTGTAGGTACGACGTGCAAGCACCTCAGCAGGATTCCGAGAACACAGCCGCTTGTCAAAGGGAGACAGAAAATCCCAGTTGGAAAGCATCGCCTCTTCTTCAGGTGTCAGACCAACCTCGTACCTTTCCGCAACAGTCCACAATCCTTCCGGGATTCTGAGCTTAGTGGCTCCCAGGATGGAGAAATCCATTGGCCTCGCAAAGAAGCAGAAGAAACACCTTGGCCGTCTCATCGGCATCACCTGTTCAAGATCAAGCAGTTTAACCCTCAAGTGTTTCAAACCCAACATCTCCGCAAACCTATGGATAAGGTGCCAGTGAGGGTGCTTGAGCAGTCCTTTGACATTCTCACCAATTGAGAATTCCGGTTGCAGAGCAGCAAGGCACCCCAAGGAATGCAACATAAGTTGCCCGTCTTCAGCCTGCAATCCAAGTGCGTTTCCTCCACCGGAGAAAGAAGTACAAGGCGGAGAGTGCAAAACACCACGAAAAGGCCAAGCCAGCGAGATCTTCAGCCAGCGCTTGTCACGGATGTCCCCTATGATAACAACCTCCTGCGTAGCCAAGTCGGCCGTGAGAAAGTCAAGCGGAACTGCTGGACATGCCCGCATTTTTGCTAACCTCACCGCTCTTTCCGGATCGATTTCAATGGCCACAACCGCAGCATTTTGGACCATGAAGGGCAAGGCCGCACTCCATCCTCCGATCCCTGCAAAGAGCTCCAAGAAACGGAGACCTTCATTTTTCCACTTTCTCGCAAGGAAAGACCGACCTTCTTTTTCAACAAGGAAGACTTTGGTGTCCCCCCAGATACCAGCAAGCAGAGCGTCAAAAACCGTCAGCTCAAGACCTCGTTGTGGTTCCAGCCATTGACACCAGTCCAACGCAAAGATTACAAAAACATCAACTTCACCGACCTTGGCTTTCCAACAATTAGGACAGCGACTTGCATCAAGAACAAAGGAAAAGGATTGCCTTACTGCCATGCCAACTTCAAATTGGACCTTCCAATCATCAAAGGCGGGACCAGTAATGCCCAGCTCCCTTGGGAGTGACTGCGAAGGTGCCACACCAGGAACGTAAGAGGGGAAGACACAGCCCAAACACTCGGCAAAAGGCTTCAAACACCAGGCACACTGATTTGGCCAAAGGCCCTGATCAAAAACAACCGTAACACCTTGACCCGTATCAGACCTACACTCAGGGTGAAAGACAACATGCTCTCCGATCGCCATCCAAAAAGGTGTGAACTCAGGGTGCGCCACCACAAAATGCGTTTCTTCGGCAGGGTGGGAAGTGACGAGAAGCTGGACGCACTGTGCGAAGGTGAAGGGGGCATACACATCCTGGTCAATCACAAATCCAACAGTAGGGGAGACCGACCTTGGAGCCGAGGCGAAGAGCGATGACTTACCGAAACATGGATCATGTGCACCTAGGCGATCAACCAACTCACGTTCGACCAAGTGACCGACCTCTTGTTCCAGATTTGCCTCAGAGCGCATACCATCACCATGAGGACCACATGGATGAATACCAGAAACATCAAGAGTAGCCTCAAACTGTGAGATCGGATCATCAATTTCATTCCCAAGACCGTCCTGAGCAGCCTTCTCACCTTGGTGATGCTTCCAAATACCAGCCTCTAAGTCTTCGAAACCGTCAGTTCCGGGGTTCCCGTCGCAGCGAGATCACAAAGGATCTGAAAAGTGGGTGAAAGCCGCTCACAACCTTCCAAACCAGAATCCCCACCATGACCAAATTCATGTGAAAAATGACAAAGCGACTCATCATTCACCGCAACGTCGTGAAAAACGCAAAATGAGGGGACTCCCTCAGAGGAAACTTCAGTGGTAGGTGATTGGGGAACCCTTCTCTTTTCACCATCCGACCCAGCCTCCGCCTTATTCCCATAAGTCCGTGATCATTGTCTTCCTGATTGGTACCGGCAGCCAACAAAACCCCAACTGTGTCAACCTGCATGTCAATTGGTGTCAGTACCTCGTCGACTTCATCTTTAGAAATCTCACCTACCATCTCACACAAGGGACCTGTGTCACCGACCTGATGATTCAACTGACAGGCATCTGAACCACCTGAGACATCGGCCGCACCATGACCAATCACCCCCTCCCGTCCGTCCTCGTCAAAGCACCCAGAAGCCTGCAGTGAACCGAGAGGCGAACACGAACCGACCAACCCAGCAGGAACACTCAATGAGGGGGTGGAAACCACGGGAGAAATGGGGTCATCAGCACCGGTGTATGCTCGCGCTCCGCGGTCACGAGGTGAGACAGAAACCCTACGCCGGAAGAGCTGACCCCCCTCAGTAGACGAACTTGTCGGCTTTGGCGCGCCGCAGACAGGGCAGTTCATCCTGCGAGCAAACACATTCCTTCTGTGATTGACGCATGCCACCGTCGGACATTGCCAGTCAGCCGGGTAAATGCGAAGCTCCGTGCAACCATCATCTCGTCCTTCACGAGGCTCCCCCAACAGCCCTTCTGCGAATCTCCTCCCTTTGGCGAGGGTCAGGTGAGCGACTTGGAGATCGCGGCATCTGCTTGGCTCTGTGCCCATGATTCGAGCTGGCCTCCGTGCCATCAGCCGCTGCCTCAGCCGTGGCCTTGGGGCGCGCCTTGGACTTGGCCGCCAGGTGCACCACGTTGGGGCCGTGCACGGGCTGTGCAACTTCTGAATCTTTTGTCTCGGCTTGCGCACGCTGTCTCTTGTAGTCTGAGTCCTCGGGCTTGTACTCTGGGTCCTCAGGGGCATCAGCCTTGCCTCTTTTCTTCCTCTTTTTCTTCTTGGAGTGATCAGCCACAGCCTCATAGCCTTCTTCGATACCGACCTCTGACTCCTTTTGTTGGGCCTTGTAGTCGTACTCCACGATCTCCGGCAGCGCCAAAGACCGAAAGAAGCGCCATGGCGTGTCACTTGAGGCCACTGTGGGCCAAGTGATCTGAGCCTCTTTGGACTCGTAGTACAAGGTCCACCCTCCGACGACCGGAACCTCTGTCTTCACCACACAATTTGCGACCATGCTCGGTGACGGAACAAAAATTTCAGGGCAGGCAGGCAGTGAAACCTCCAAGCCTTCATGTTCCCAAGCGCAACACGGATGCGTTGACCAGCTGTTTCAATTTGCTCACATGAGCGATGGCACAGATCCAAGAGGGCATGGCTTGCACATCACCATACAACACGGCCAGAGGAACCCACGTAAGGTCATTCGCGGCTTTCATCAACTCAGCCTTAGGTGGCACCAAATCAGCACACCAAAGCGGTATGCCATCAGGATTCAGGGGAACACCGGCTTCCCCCCACCGACCTTTGCTCCGTGTTGAAGACCGACCTGATTTGGGACCAAACAACAAATCTCTCAACTGAGTCGTAGAGAGGGGGACGCCACCTTCAGAGGATACCTCTCCCTTAGGAAGGGTCGGCATCTCCAATCCGTCTATCCAAATCTCGGAGACCGTGCGTTCGGCCCTCAAAACATCAGCCAAGTTCTGAATTGGCTCCACCGCAGGATCACGTTTCCACAACGCATCCAAGACCGACCTGTCAATCCGACGATCCGGCTGCTCATCCGACATCACCAGAAAGCGCAAGATGTCACGATCTGCGTCTCCAGCTTCTCTCAAGCGTCTTCGAAAAAGCACCATCAATGGATCACCGGACAATTCCCGAACACGATCCGGGTCAACCGTCGCTCCAATGTGCCCTGCAAGGAAACCAAAACCTGGCCCGTTGTTGAGCCCAGCCAAAAGACGCAACAACCTGCTGTAGCCAGCGACAATGCCATCACCAGCAGGGGCACGCAACAACGCCGAACCCCAGTCCATAACAGACCAACCGACCGACCCTGTCAGAGAGTGAACCAGCTAACTACCCACTCCCGAGCGCTCAGCAGAACAGTCTCTACCCCTGGTAGGTGGCTCGAGCCAGAAACTGAACGTCAATAACTTACGTAAAATTGCGATTTTTTGAAGTGTGTAAAAGCTGCTCTGTGGAATCGGTTTTTCTGTGGGAAAGCGTCTGTGTGTAAAGGCTTCTCTGTGTAAAGCTTCTGTGCGTAAAAGCCTCCGTGTGTACAAGCTTCTGTGTATAAAGACTTCTGTGTGCAAAAGCTCCTGTGCTCAAAAGCTTCTCTGTGTAAAAGCTTCTGTGGAAAAGCTTGTGTGTGTGTAAAAGCTTCTGTGTGTAAAAGATTCTCTTTGTAAAGGCTTCTCTGTGTCAAAGCTTCTGTGATTCTCTGAAAAACCATCTGTGTCTAAAAGCTTCTGTGTGTATAGGGGTGTGTATGTCAAAGCATCTCTGGGTAAATGCTTCTGTGTGGAAAGGCACCTGTGTTCAAAAGCTTCTGTGTGTAGAAGCATTTGCCGCATCTGTGTGAAGAACTTTTGAGTAAATACCTCTATGTGTAAAGACCTGTCTGCGTAAACGCTTGGGCATTTGCGTGTTTAAAGTTTCTGTGTGTATAAGATTGTATAAGCTGCTCTGTGCAAAGGCCTCTCTCTGTGTAAAAGCTTCGGTGTGTAAAAGCTGCTCTGTGTAAACCCTGCTCTGCAAACAAGCTTCTATGCGTAAAAGCGTCTGTGTGTAAAAGCTCTGTGTGTAAAGGCGTGTGTGTAAAGCTTTTGTGTGTGTAAATGCCTCTGTGTATAAAAGATGCTCTGTGTAGAGGCCTCTCTGTGTAAAAGCTTGTCTGTGTAAAGCTTATGTGTAAAAACTTCTGTGCGTAAAAGCCTGGGGCGTCTGCGTGCAAAAGCTGCTCTCTGCATCTCTGTGTAAAAGCGTCTGTGTGTAAAAGCTGCTCTGTGTAAAGGCCTCTCTGCGTCAAACCTTCGGTCTGTAAGCTCTGTGAACAAGCTTCTATGCGTAAAAGCGTTTGTGTGTAAAAGCTCTGTGTGTATGTAAAGCTGTTGTGCGCGTAAATGCTTCTGTGTATAAAAGATGCTCTGTTTAGATGCTTCTCTGTGTAGAAGCTTCTCTGTGCAAAGCTTCCGTGTGAAAACCTCTGTGCGTAAAAGCCTCTCTGTGTAAAGGCCTCTCTGCATCAAAGCTGCTCCGCATAAACGCTGCTCTGTAAAACAAACTTGAGTGTAAAAGCTGGTCCGCGCAAAGGCTTCTCTGTGTGAAAGCTGCTGTATGTAAAAACCGTTTGTGCTCAAAGTTCCTTCCCGCAAACGCTTGTCTGTGAAAAAGCTTCTCTGTGCAAAATCTTCTTTGTGTAACAGCTTCTGTATGTGTAAAAGCTGCTCTGTTTAAAGGCTTCTCTGAGTAAAAGCTTCTGTGTGTAAAAGCTTCTGTATGGAAAAGCGTCTGTGTGCAAAAGCGTCTGTGTAAAAGCTGCTCTGTGTAAATCCCTCTCTGTGTAAAGGCTTCTGTGTGTAAAATCTTCTCTGTGTAATTTTTTCGCTGTGTGAAGACAACATGTCTTTTGATTCTGACTGTTGCTCAGGAGCAAACCCTCTGCGGGGACAAAGCAGGCATGAAATCGTGGATATATATGACATTTGACTTGCGTCAGCTATCATTCATAATCATCTCCATCGCCATTCATCCTCGTCATCGTCATCGCCATCATCATTGTCGTCATCATCATCAACATCATCATTTTTCGTGTGTATTATCTTCTCGTCTCCTCCCTCCTGCTTTCATTCATGCCACGCTGTCGTCTAGTGTTTTTATCCATGTGCGAGTGCCATATCATTTTTTGAAGCAAAACTAGTTCTTCTTCAATCTCTCCGTTCCGTTATTAGAACATGTCTTCAAACTTTGCAGTATTCTGATTCAATGTTCTTGGAACCTTGCCTGGGCAACTGTTCTTGGACACGTTGCTTGACACTTGTTTATCGGAACCTTGCTTGGGAACCTGTTCTTGGGAGCCTTGCTTGGGAACCTGTTCTTGGGAGCCTACTCTTAGGAACCTGCTCTTGGGAGCATTGCCTGGTAACCGGCTATTGGGAACTCTCTCTTGGGAACCCGTTCTTGGAAACTTTGCCTGCTTGCTTCAAACCTGTTCATTGGGACCTTGCTCGGGAACCTGTTTTTCGTATCTTTGCTTGGGAACCTTGTTTAGGAAGCTGTCCTTCGGAACCTTGCTTGGGATTCTGTTCTTGCTTCCAGCCTTGCTTGCAGATGTGCTTCGAAATTTCGCTTTGCAAGTTGTTCTTGGAAAGCTGTTCCTGGGAACATGAGCAACCTGAAACCATGCTTGGGAACGTGTTTGTGGGAACCGTGCTGGCAACCTATTGCTCGGAACCTTCCTAGAGAATTTGTTCTTGGAACCCGAACCAGTTCTTGGGAACCTGTTCTTTGAACCCTTGCTTGGGAACCTGTTCTTGCGAAGCTTGCTTGCAAACCTTGCTTGGGGAGCTGTTCGTGGAAACCTTGCTTGGGAACCTGTTCCCAAGGACCTTGCTTGGTAACCTTGCTACCCTGCAAGGAAACCTGTTCTTGGAACCCTTGCTTGGGAACTTGAGGCACTGTTCTTGGAACCCTTGCTTGTGAACCTGTTCTTGCGAACCTTGCCTGGGAACCTGGTCTTGCAAGCCTTGCTTGGAAACCTGTTCCCAGGAACCTTGCCTGGAAACCCCTTGCTTGCGAACCTATTCTTTGGAACCTTTTTTGCAACCTTTTCTTGGAAACCTGTTCCTGGGAACCTTGCTTGGGAACCTTGCTTGGGAACATGTTCCTGGGAACCTTGCTTGGCAACTGTATCTGGAACCCTTGCTTGGGAACCTTGCCTGGGAACCTGTTCTTGGGAATCGTTCCTGGTAACCTTGCTTGCAACCTGTTCCTAGAAAATTTGATTGGAAATCTTGTTCTTGGGGTGGCTGCAGACCCCACGCTTACGTACGCTGTTGGGGAAAAACGTTCCCAAGCAAGTTTCCAGGAAGAGGCTTCCAAGCAGGTATCCAGGAAGAGTTTCCCAAGCAAGGTTAAATTCTTAGGAACCGCTTGCAAGTACGGTTCCCAAAAACGGTTCCGAAGCAAGGTCCCCGGAACCGTTTCCAAGCAAGGTTCCAAGCAGGAACAAGGCTCGCAGGAACAAGTTCTCAAGCAAGCGTTCCCAGAAAGAGCTGGTTCCCAAGCAAAATTTCCAGGAGCAAGGGTTCCCAGGGAACCTTGCTTGAGAACCTCTTCCTAGCAACCTTGCTTCAGACTCTGTTCCTGGGAACCTTGCTTGGGAACCTTTTCCTGGAAACATTGCCTGGGAACTTCTTCCGGGAACCTTACTCGTGAACCTGTTCTTGGGAAACTTGTTTGAGAACCTGTTCCTGGGAACCTGTTGCTTGGGAACCTCTTCCTGGGAACCTTACTTGTGAACCTGTTCTTGGGAACCTTGTATGGGCACCTGTTCCTGGGAACCTTTGGCTGGGAACCTTGCTTGGGAACTTCTTCCATAAAGCATTGCTTGGGAACCAGCTTGCTGGGAACCTTGCTTGGACACCTCTTCCTGGAAACCTCTTCCTGGAAACACTTGCTTGAAGACCTGTTCTGGGAAATTTCTTTTGTTTGAGAAAAACATGTTCCTGGAAATCTTGCTTGGGAAATGTTGCCTGGAAACCTTGAAAACGGTTCCTGAAATCCGTGCTTCCAAACCCTATTCCTGGGAACCTTGCTTGGGAACCTCTTCCTGAGAACCTTGCTTGGGAACCTCTTCCTGGGAACCCTTGCTTGGGAACCCTTGCTTGGGAACCCTTGCCTGGGAACCCGGGACCTGTTCCTGGGAACCTTGCTTGGAACCTCTTGGGAACCTTGCCTGAGAACCTCTTCCTGAAAACATTGGGAACCCTTGCAATCTGTCCTGGTAACCTTGCCTGGGAACTGGGAACCTCTTTCTGGGAACCTTGCTTGGGAACCTGTTCCTGGGAACCTTGCTTGGGAACCTCTTGCTAGGAACCCTTGCTTGGGAACTTGTTCCTGGGAACCTTGCTTGGGAACCTCTTGCTGCGAACCCGTGCTTGGGAATCTCTTCCTGGTAACCTTGCCTGGGAACCTCTTCCTGGGAACCTTGCTTGGGAACCTTGCTTGTGAACCTCTTGCTAGGAACCCTTGCTTGGGAACCTTGCTTGGGAACCTCTTGCTAGGAGCCTCTTCCTGCAAACCTTGCTTGGGAACCTGTTCCTGGGAACCTTGCTTGGGAACCTTGCCTGGGAAGGAACTTGCATGGTAACCTGGGAACCTTGCTTGGGAACCTCTTGCTAGGAACCCTTGCTTGGGAATCTGTTCCTGGGAACCTCGTCCTGGGAACCTTGCTTGAGAACCTTGCTTGGGAACCTCTTGCTGGGAACCCTTGCTTGGGAACCTTGCTTGGGAACGTGTTCCTGGGAACCCTTGCTTTGGAACCCTTGTGTGGGAACCCTTGCTTGGGACCTGTTCCTGGGAACCTTGCTTGGAACCCCTTGGGAACCTTGCCTGGGAACCTTCCTGATAACATTGGGAACCCTTGGTAACCTTGCCTGGGAACCTTGCTTGGGAACCTGTTCCTGGGAACCTTGCTTGGGAACCTCTTGCTAGGAGCCCTTGCTTGGGAACCTTGCTTGGGAACCTGTTCCTGGGAACCTTGCTTGGGAACCTCTTGCTGGGAACCCTTGCTTGGGAGTCTGTTCCTGGTAACCTTGCCTAGTAACCTTGCTTGGGAACCTCTTCCTGGGAACCCGGTTCCCAACCTTGCGCCATGCCGATCTGGCTCCGAAGGATTCTCTTGGAAAAGGAAACTCTTCCTGGGAACCTTTTTGGGAACCCGGTTCTCAGCGGATTTGGCTGCTCCGACCTGCTCCGGAACCTTTACTATGGCTGAAGACCCCAAGCTTACGCTGTTGGGGAAAAACGATCTGCTGGATAAGAACGAACGACTTGGGAAGTCAATCCCGGCGTCCAAACATAAAACATCATAAAACATCATAACACCCACATCCAAATGGTACACTGGGTACTCCTCCCAAATCACCACACCTTTCACCTCACAGGTGTTTTGACATGTTTTGATGCTGAATGACCTCATTTGTTTCCATGAAAAACCATACCCTGAACCATCAGTTTGTTCCTCCGGCCATCCAAAAGTCCATCCGGCATCCCTAAAAGGGCCTGTTTTCTCCAATGGGATCACGAAGCTACTGCAAGACGCAAAGACCAGCATATAGACCATGAAGACGATGTTCACCATGTACTTTTGCGGTTTTCTTTGCAAATGCACCATCACCTGTCACTCCGGAAATGGCTGGAGCGGATCTTGGCAAGAACTAGGACTGTGTTGAGTGAAGAACTTCAGAGCCTCTGTCGAGGGAGTTCTCATGGGGTTCAATACAAGTCAAGATGAAGCCGTCCGGGCTATCATTCATTCCAACAATGTTTTGTGATAGTGCCAGCCATCCTACCCAAGCAGTCAGGGATCCCTTTGATGGCAAGACTCTGCAACAGCTTTCGACATGCAGGCAGCATCCAGCAGGTTTTGCAGTGTCTGGAAAATTGGCCAAGGGGGAAAAATTGCAGAATCCAACTGAGGTTTGTCAAAGTCTACCTTGGGAACATCATCCTAGGAACGCTGTGCGGATGCGAGGACACGTCTTACCGCGATCCACCGAGACCACTCTGACATTCCCCTTTGGGTTCACTCATCATCTGCGCCCCTAAAAAACGATCATCTGCGGCCCTAAACTCTCATATAGAAACATGCTTCTGAGGGGTAAGACCCTTTAGGTTGGAAGGGGGGGGCATCATGGGAGGAACTATCATGGCACCATATATGAAGAGTATCTGAGGGGGTTGACCTTTCGAAATCATTGTATATGATATGGAAGAAGCAGAGTCATGTCTGGAACAACGTTAAGTTAAGGCTTTGAAGTTGCTGATGCAAGGGGGGTTTCAAAACCTCTACCCCCGTCTATAATCCAAAGGCCCGCCCCGAGCGAACGTTTCGAAATTATAACATGGACGTCGAAAAGATTGAGGTCTTATCTTCTCTTCTTGGTGAAAACGCCGCAATCCTGCGAAACATCCGTATAAAACTGCACGGTGAAGTCGTGAAAACGACGCTTTCGTGCGAGACTTCCCTCAAAAGTAAAACTGACGATGTGAAAACGAAGCTTTGGTGCTAGACTTCCCTCAAAAAGTGAAAGTTGAAGATGTGAAAACGACGCTTTCGTGCGAGACATTTCTCAAAAAGTGAAATTCCCCATTATCACAACGAAGGTTTAGGGGCACAGACGATACTGGTAGCCTGTGCAACGCTTGGTTTGTGCAACCTGCGTGGCACTTTAAGCCCATCTGATCATCTGCGCCCCTATTCAAAAACCATCTTTCGAGCAATTATAACCCCAAGAGCGGTTTAGGGGCACAGACCATGAGGGAAACCCCTTTGCAACAAATTGTTCCCCTCTGCTCTTCCTCCTTCTTGCCTTTCACATGAGCCCGAAAACTATGAATCTGGCCCAACAAATGGCATACTTTCACGTCTTTCAAGAAAACGATGATACCGCAGGCCAATCCATTAATTTCACTTGCCAAAATTGTGAACCGAAAAGTCTTTGACAATTACTGCGCATTTGTTTTTTCCGCGTCCGATTCAAGCAGAGCACAGGAAGCACGTACGAATTCACCTGGCTGACCTTGATTTCAAGGTGTCCACATTCCTGAACCCGTCCGGAGGTGTCACATGAGTTGCAACCTCAGAGCGGTAACCTGATTGAGCCAAGATATTTTAAGTTACACAGGCAAGAGACCGCAAACAGCGTTGGGGGTAGGAAGTCAATGTACCAGATACAAGCAGCAGTAGCTATGGAACAGTAACAGATGAGGTTAGACATGATCGCAACTGCAGCGGCAGGACCTTCTATGTACATATATATAGAGGGGCTCACAAGATCTTCATACCAGCACTTCCTATGAGCATCCAGACGAACTTTTATACAAGCACCAAGGCAGAGGATCTTCAAAATCTTAGTGCAAGGAGCTCTTGAGGAGGATGTCAACAAGATCTCCACAAGATCTTGTCATAAGGACCTGTCCGAGATCATGTAAGGACACCTGGAGGATTTCACCAGGACCTCTTCAAGAGCTTCTCACAAAAAGTTGTACAAGGTCATGCAAAAAGCCTCTGACGGCATTTCACTAGGATCTCCACAAGAACTTCTCACAAGGACTTGTAAAAGACCTTGGCCAAGATCTTCATGCCAGGACCCCTAAGAGAAGCTCTCAAGAGCGTCCTAAAATGCGCGAATCTTACAAGATCTTGAGACAAGAACCTCCCAAGAGCCGCCCACAAGAGCTTTCATACAAGCACTTGTACGACATGGCATCTCCAAGGGCTTCATGCGAGGGCCTCTTAGAGAGGATCTCACCAGGATCTCCACAAGATCTTCTGTTCAGGACCTGTACAAGGTCATGCAAGGACCTTTAGAGAGGAATTTAGCAGGATCTCCACAAGAGCCGTTTATGTGACAATTTACATTGAACATGTCGCAGGGTAAGAGCTTGAGAACCCCGTGGCGCGGACTTTGTGCGAGCCTGCGCAGTCGAAATGCACATGGACATCTCAGAAGAGCCATTTCATGTGATAATTTACAGGAAAAATGCCGCGCCCCAGAAGTTAGCCGCACGTTTTGTGCCAGCTTGCGCAGTCGAAATGCACTTGGACATCTCGCAAGAGCAAGTTTATGCGAGAATTTACTGCAAAAAAAACGCAAAGCAGATGACGTACCGTGATCTACCCCTGGCCTTAACTCCTACCCCCGGTGTGGACACACTGTTTGGGGAAAAGATCAGGGCAAGAGAACTAAGAGGCACTTGTTCTTCGCTTTACTTTTGCTCTTGCGAAGGGATGCTTCAGACTCCATGCCCTGGTCAGGAATGAAAAACTCGCATCGATACGTTTGGTGCCGGCTACGTTCTGATAGTTGTGATATATCCTTTTCATTGGAGTTCTATGAGGCCCTTGGCAACTGATACCCGAGAGCCCAAACAACACGGTTGAATCAAATGACCGGAAGATGGAAGTGGGGGCAGCGGGGGCAGCAATTCGAGCAATTGTTGCATTTGGAGCAAAGCCCGACGCTTCAGATCCACCAACCAGACCTCCAAATGTAGAAATTGCAGTGCTTTGCTTTGCAGTGCTTTGCTTGCTTTTGAAAGTGCGCTGTCGGAAAAACCTACTGAGTGCTTCTGATCTCAGGTCGGGCTGCTAAGGGTGAGGGCTCAAACGACTGCTCTACTGCTCGACTGCTCGACTGCTCGGGTCGAAATGATGAGGGGAGAAAAGAGGAAGCGACGACAAGACCAACAGCAACAAAAACAGCCACCACCACAGCCATGACATCATCATGATGCCAAGAAGAGAGATGTGCAGGCACCCTCTGACATAGACAGCCCAGACAGCCCACTGCCAGCCTTCACTTGGGAATACTGTTTGTTGTTGACATTGGCAGCTGTGGTCTTTTCTTTCAATATTCCGACTGCCTGGATCAGCGCAAAAGGATGCAAAAGGTGGAATCCGGGTGGAACATTCCAAAGTCTCAACATACCTCCACATAGCGAACATGGGTCAGTTCTGCCATGACTTGCAGTGACTTGCATCAGTGGTCTGAACATATCTTGACGACGGATTAACACGGCTTGTATTCGTTGTTCTTCAGTCAACCCAAATCTTCTTGCCTTCCTGAGGTCTAAGAAAAGAGGGAGTCGGAGGGACACTTGAATAAATAGGAATCTCCATACAACCTCCCAATTGATCAATCAACGGTCTATAAATCACAAGCCAACGTGAGATTCCAGGTCTACAATGAACATCAAGCATGAACGCAAGCCACTTGCCACGAACCATGGTCAAACCGTCAAACCGTCAAACCCTCTCCTCATTCTGCTCCTTGTCCACCTCACGTATTGCACCATCCAACACCCCATGGGAGAATCGTGGAGAGATGAGCCTGTGAGCCTCTCACACGCCTTGTCTACTTCTAGATGTGGCTGACAAGAAGTGAGGCAACGACATGTTTCTGTCCCAAGCAAGTGCATAGCTGCGAGAAATTTGTATTGGAGAATTGCACTCAAAAAAACGTGTCATGTTTAGTGCCCAGGAGACAGATTGATCGATTGATCAGCTTAATCAGATTCATCAGATTGATCAGATTGCTCCCTACTGTAAGTCCTCCAGTTTTTCCAAACCTCATGCCGACTTGTTCATCTGAAAACGGCTGGATGCCTTGTACTCGGGCAAATCTTTCACACGGCAAACGGAGTTCACCTTCTCATCCACCTCATAGGCAGTTGGGAAGGTGTTCGGCATGGAATATTCTCCAATACACCAACTATGTATCGTACTGTATGTACTATACATCTCACTTTTGCATGAATTGCAGATTGTTTGAAAAATACATGCGAATATGTTTTGATATTGATATGTTTCGTTTTTGATAGGTAGATTTCCCAGATTCCTCACATCGTCTTGTCTGCACTTCACACATCTGGAGACTAGTCGGCACCTGCAACATTCCCCCAGCCCACCTCAAGCTTCAACATCGAGGCAGGCATGCTTGCTGTAATGGTGAATTGAAGCAGCTGCCGGTCGAAGGGAAAGTGTTCCAGTTCCATGTTTTCCTGTCAGGGTGATACAAAACAAGATCGCCTGAGAAGGTCTTCAATACAAGGGATGGTGGGGTCAACATGGGTCAACATTCCTAATAGGCTTCAATAGGCTTCGATGTCATTCCGGATTGGCCAACCCTGCCTTGAAATCTGCTCTCAGCTTCCGGAAAAAAACGGTTTCACCAGTTTCGCCGTTGCTGAGACGTTGGAAATCGTTCAGCACCGTGGGCTCTTCCATCAGCTTTGAGAAGATCACGATGGAAGAACCTCCCCTGTCGCCTCGGAACAACCTGAAGGCGGCTGTTAAAGCTGCAGGTTTAAAGCCTTGCGCGTGAGGTCTGTTCAACAAAAAATGTCTGGCTTCGAAGGTCTGAATTGTCCAGTGCAAGAAATGTCTGAGATCTTGTTGGGTTTCTGTCAATAAGTCTGACGACTTGAACATGCAGAATTCAAAACCAAGGGACTGTCCGAGATCACTGAAGTTCGGCTCCTCTTTGTAAATGAAGCTCGAGAGCAACTGCCAGTCATGGTAACCACCCTGGAGCCGCTGAGAAACCACCTGGGATGCCTCTGGAGTTTGAAATTACCACTGGAAGGCTAGAATTACTTCGTATGAATGTTCTTTTTGATGTCAAATAATGTCAGATTTCTCGATCCAAGCAGTAAACATTAGCCGCTTGCGATCTGGATTCTGAAAATGTCTGAAAACATGATTCAAATTTAACACATTTCTGATCTGCTCGCTGGACCTACGACGCCGCACAAATAACCTCTAAGGCCTCTATGAGTCAACATTGTTGTTTTGCTGACACTGTAGCTCGCATCCAATGAATACTCGCCTAGATCAATAGCTCAGCCCCCTTTTGCCTATCAATATTTTGTTTCACAAAATCTACAAATCCAATATTTTGATGGGCAAAAGTCAAGCCTGGTCGAATGTAGTTGTTTGATATTCCACATTTTAAGTGATTCTGCTCACCATCAGGTTGAGTTTTCTGTCACTGTGGGTGATATCACATGGGTCATGGGGCTGGCTTGAGTGCTGACACAGCGTCATTCTTGTCTTCGACCTTGATGTAGTCTTTGCCTTGTGACTGAATTTGAACCGCCAGCGATTCACTGCTTCGTTTCACTCTGTTTATTTCATCTGTAGGCCCTGTAGGCCAATCCATCAATTGAATGGACACAAGTTGATTGTGTAACGTTGATTTTCCTGTAAAGATCTATAAAGATTATAGTTGCACAGAGTTACACAAACGTTGAGTAGGACTCAAAGGCTTGCTGCATACGCCTTCAATGGGTATGTTTGAACTACATAACTATAGAGTGAGTGTGTAATGTGAAAAATGTGACGAATCCATTGAGATCCATCGAGTACAGGCTCTGTGCTAAGCTCAAGGACCCTTCTCTTCTTTGAAGATGCCCAGCACGAAAGGCAGTTTGCTGCAACGTTGACCCCTTAGGCCACCACGGCAATAACAGGTACCACCTGTCGAGGCAAAAGCACCAATGGCAGCAACGGCACAAGTTTTACTGTGGATTCCTGTGGATCAGATCCCCTGAGGTGTTTTGGGGAACATTGTATCTTGCGGCATTTCATGGCATTTCACAACCCGCATCAGACACCGAGGTGTTCCTTCAGGAAAGATATCGGCCTTCGCATGTTCGTCGCCCCTTCAAGGTGGACTCACGAGGCAACCACACTCTGGTTTTCGCATTCCTGACAAAATGCGCATGTTCAGAAAACACATTTTGACAAAAATGTTCACAGAACCAGTTTTCCAACGTTTCAAAACGTTTCCAACGAATCACATGATATATCCACCATGAAACCATTACAATCGACTTGCACCATTTTGACCTCTCTCGGCTCACATGGCAATCCACTGGAGATGTTTCGGAGACATGGACCGTTGTAACCGTTGTAATCATTAATGCAATTAAGGCGTTTGTTCGACCCAACCACTGATCACGACATCTATCAGAATCTATCAGATCCTTGATTTTTGAACAAACAAGTCCTGCAAGAACTGCACCTACTTGGATGCCAAACGCCACAGAATAAAAAAAATTGCCTAACAAAGCGTCCTGTTGCAGTGACCCCCGAATGGTTGTCGCTTGGTTGATGCATTTGACCCCCGAATGGCCCGAATCCGTGCAGCGCCTCAGCCTGGGATCTTTCCACCTGAAACAAACATCCAGTTCCATGGTGAACGTTTCTTGGTCCAAGTCGACTGCCTCGTGGATCAACATGGATCAACATGGATCAACATGGACATGGACGGAATGGAACGCACTGGACTTGTTTTTAAAAAAATCTGGTGAAATCAAATTTGTAAATGTGGAATTGATTTGTGATGCCAAGAGTATGAGATGCCAGCGTGTGCTGCCGAAAACTCGACCGCATCAACTGCCAACCCTATTTTGATTCAAGACATACACTTCCACAGATTGCAATATGACAATATGAAAACCTCATGGAAATTCCATTTCCTCGCAAGAAACTGTATTATTTAGGAAACAACCCTTTGTGAACACAACAATTTCACAACAATTCTGTGAAAAATGAAATACTTATTTTTGATGAAGGGAACCCAACTGGAATTTCCATGATGATACACTAAGCAAATGGGAAGCTGCCAAAATTTGATGGATAGTCACTCGAATCTTCAGATTTTGTTCCTCGCTCAGCAGAGTTCCATACGTTTGATGCAGTTCATGCATCTTTGTTTCATCGTGGTTGACGTCGTGGTTGTAGCCCTGCAGTTCATGCATCTTTGTTTCATCGTGGTTGACGTCGTGGTTGTAGCCCTTCTCACCGTGGTTGTTGATGAATGCGACGGACATTTTCCACAAACGGGTGCGAGACTGTTGTACTCAAACGTTTTTTTCAAAGACACGCGTGAAAACAATGCGACCACTTTGCCAAGATATGACATAAAAAATGAAACTGTTTCAACAGACATACCATGAAGTATCGACAGTTGAACAGAAATGATGTCAAGTGTCATTTTGAATTTCAATTCCTGCATTTTGGTCCATCCGTTGATTAAACTAGGAGCCGAACGCTCTGGGGGCATAATGAACCCTTTTTGCAAAACAACTGTTCCGATGTTTCAATTGACTGATTGGAAATGTGTCACGTCCATGGATTGTTTTTCCAGCGCTAAACTCATGCGATATTGGGGAAACGTTTCGTGCAACAATGCAAATTGTACAACTATTGCAGCCTGTCCTTGCGCCAAACAATGTGGAGGCACAAGCACAGCACACGTGTCACAAGTTGCAAAAGGTATATTTGGATGTTTGCCTTCATGTTTCAAAACTAAGACTTAAACTCATTGCCAGAAACGCAGCAATTCAAACAGTCTATGGGGAGTGAACGCAGTCTATGCCGTGGGCGTTCCAAATGTCTCAAGATGCACGGGACAACTCAAAAGCCGCGCGCCCTTTCTCTGAATGCTTCAAGCCATTTGTCACGAAGTTACACTTCTGAATTTGTGCTGTGTCATCCAAACAGCAAGGCCATGCTAATTTTCTCTGTGCTGTTCCAAGTGACAACTGGGGACCTGCGAACCTGCCTTGATTCCATTAACTAAAATGTGACACCCCACCTTGGTAGGGATTTTGGAAAAATTCCTGCCACATACCGTTGTGCAAACCAACGTTTCGTGCAGTTTTGGTCCATTACCAGACCCTGTGCCATGCAATTGTCTCTCGAATTTGGTCTCCAGGCACATCGGAAAAAAAAACTTCTAGCACTACAACCACAAGCACTGATTGCATCACGCAATGTCCATCAATGACTCGACTTCATGTAATGCTCTTAGCACGCCTGCAGCTTCTTCCCAATTGCCTTGAGTTGCTGCTTCGTCGTGCCTCTGTCTCAACGTGTTGGCTGCTCTGGTCAACCTGATTCGATTGGCTTGTGAATATGCCCTCATCCTCTCATAGGCATCATCGTGTAAATTTGCCCACTCATCAGGGTCGCTCACTTCGCCTTGTTCACTGTTCAAATGCCTGGTTCTTCTCTCATCTGGTAATTTTCCAGGCATCTCTTCATCTCCATCGTTTTGCTGAGGATCCACATCGTAGTCATAGTTTGGAAGTCTGTCGATGGCCTGCCCATTCAATGGAACCCCATTCAATGCCATGTGGACGATCTCATTGCCATCGGGGTCGTGGCCACCTCCATTACCTCCTTCAGGAGGATCATCACCATCTTCAATTTCCTCTTCTTCTCCTTCATCTTCAACTCTTGGATTTGCATACCGAACCGGAGGAAGTGGTTCCCTTGGATGGTCAATTCTGACCCTTTCACCTCCAAGGTACTCGTTGAGGTCATTGTAGATGGTTTCAATGTCAACATCATGTCACCTCTCTGCTCAGCTTCACGAAATCTCGCATGCAAATAGTCAATTTCATTGCCAAGCACCCATCTTGAAAACTGTAAAGAAGGAAGGATTTATGTTCTGATACCTACTTGCTGCGGCCATGGGGTCATCATGTTGTGTGTACCACTGTTGACAGATCCGAATCAGCGCACTCAACTTTTTATCGACTGGGGTTTAGCTTCGGTATTGCCATTGCGGCGCGCTCTGGCCTTGGGTAGGCAACACAGAGCGAGAAAACCGATCGGTGTAGGATCTACCTGAAGTCCAGGTTGACGATCGGGATATTGTTGGTCCGTCGAAAATGGTTGCGAAAGAACCTTGCTAATTGTATCATCCGTATCGTAAGCCTCAACTTGAGATGAGTGATGACTGCACGGAGATGTTGTCGGACTTGGTCGATGTGCAGTGAGGCTTGTGGTAGATGATGGTCGTCAAGGTAATCACTCAGGTCATCGACTTGGCAAATGACTTCTTGTGCCCGTGCCAATTCACGTTGAGTTTGAAGAATTGGGTCAAAAAGGGCTTGAAGGTCTTGTTGAACTTGAACGAGAGCCATGTCGGATACACTGAGGTGACGGAAACGGTTTCAAGAAAAGTAAGAGCATCACTTGATGCGAGATAACATTATGAGCATCACTTGATGCAACAGGGTGGGAGAGGTATTGGGACGAAAATAAAAATGTCAGGTCATGAACATGAGTATGTATCACATTGAGTGTGATGATCATTAATCAAGTAAATTGACTTGAAGATAATGTTACTCATGTCATGACTCGTCTCATGTTCTCCCTGCAGCACTTGCTGCTGTCTCACTTGAGACTAAAAAGGATACGTCGGATCAACATGGTTTGACATCACACAACCACATGACGAAATGCCCCATGCCCGCGAACTCATGTACACGTGTATGAACTCCGTATACATTCGTTGGTGGTAGGTATTTCACATAAAAATCTATCATGATTCTCATGAGAGTATTCTTATGTTCTGATACCTACTTGCTGCGGCCATGGGGTCATCATGTTGTGTGTACCACTGTTGACAGATCCGAATCAGCGCACTCAACTTTTTATCGACTGGGGTTTAGCTTCGGTATTGCCATTGCGGCGCGCTCTCACCCTATGGTAAGGCCGCTTGTTCCCAAACTGCTTTTGGGTCAACTCTGGAACTTGTCAGTCCATTCCAAATCGTCACGAAAGATCTGGATAGATGGTCAGAGGGGTTGGATTGGCTCGGAACCCTTTCTAACCAAATTTGGCAACATGACCTTTCTTCCAAAGAAAAGATTTTCTTGAGCAGTTGGCTGCTTGCGTCATTTTGTGACCATGACTTGAGAAAACTCCCGCGGACAGCTTCGCTGTCTGAGAAGATGACGACACGTCTGTCTTCTGCCACTGGGAGCCATAACACAGCAGCAATGAGCAAGGCCAGCATCTCAAGTTCTTGTATCATGTTCTTCTGTTCATCCTTTTTGATTGAAAGGAGAAATTCGGACTAACCCGTTCACTGAAGAAGAAGCAGCTCTGTCCAGAACTGTCATAGAAGACCCCTCCTACCCCGGAATACCCTTCAGGTTCGTAAGAGGCATCCACGTATACATGCACGTGGTCTGACATCTTCCCTGAGATCATCCTGGGGACGTTGAGAGAGATTTGTTCCCTCAGTTCACGTAGCGCGAGCATAGTATTGTCGCAAAGGGCGGTTCTGCCACTAGAAATGTGTTTGGATAATGTTCTCATCCTATTTCTGGCGCTGCGCCCAAAGAGTTGCCCGCTAGCAAACTGGAGTCTTCCTCTCAATCTTTCTCCATCGGCTCTTCTCAGGGAACCTGACGTGAGGACACTATCAAGCTCCTCGCAAAGTTCCTTCACCCTGTCTTGTGTGTTGGCCACTGCAGCAAGTCCCTGGCCTGACATGCGCATGTCAAACTCGACACCCAGTACCTTGCACATGGTGTGATAATCAATCAATTTGTCTTCAGAGAGCCTCCAGCCTAGGATGCTAAACAAAGAGGAGATTATAAGGTCGGTGTGCCGAGAAGTTTCACTGGTCGTCACTGACAGGAAGTCGTCAAAGTATGATGCCCACATCAGCCTAAGAAGTCTGGCTCCCACTTTCCAAATGCCGTGAGCGACCCTCAAAAAGGCTGTGACGGATGCCACAGACCCGAATGGGAGAACTTTTTGTTGGAAAATTTCGGCCTTTTTCCTAGTGGGGTTATAGACTGCCAGAAAACCGTCATTATCAAAAGCATGATCACTTAAAGGTATCTGTTTATAAGCGTCGGCAAGGTCCCATGTCTTCGCGGACAAAGACACGCTAGTTCCGAGCTCTTCAGAAAACCTCATAATGCAGGCAATGAGTGAGGCTATGTGGTCCACAGTATGGACAGTGGCAGTCTCGGTTTGTGATACGCTACTGTTGACGAAAGATGCCTTGTAGTCATCTATGGGTCTCGTTTTGCTCTTCTGCTTCACCCCAAAGCGTCTGGTCAATGTGGACCCTTCAGGAAGGTCTGCAGGTTCGACAGGCCCGATCAGGAAGCCTTTGTCGACCTCCTTCATGGTGGCCGCATACAGTTGACCGTCAAGATCTGGGTCCCCTGATGAAACCACTGTCTGCAACATGTTATGCCGGCATAATTCTGATATCTGATATCCTCCTGAGCTCAACGCAAGACATGGTAGCTGGTCTCAATTTCCGGGCGAAAACTTGCGACTCGGGAAGGTTCCCGGTTAAGTCAAAACCCGAAGCCAGTTGGTCAACAAGATCTGAATCTCGGTGCATAGCATCTTCCATGAGAGTTTTGAAGAGTAGTAGGTTTTTGCCCTGCAAGACTTGCCTCCTCCTACTCGACATGTTTTCTTTAAGTTGACGTTCTGCACCTGCAAGACTGCTGGCTAGGTGAATCCACCTTTTGATTTCCTCGGTTCGTTCTCGAGCGAGGCCTCCAGGAGCGTCATGCGCACAGTGTTGCACAACCTCATTCATTTCATCAGGGAAAAACGAATGGAGCCTAGTGGGGTGGCCTATGGCAAGGGCTTGCTTCACGAACTCATCTGGTGCATGATGTATGCCGACCGTTATCGTATGGTCCGTGTTTAGGCCACTTGAACCTTGGCTGTTGCAATCCTTTTCACTCGCGGAAATCCCCTGGTGAGGAGTGCTGAGCTTACGTGAATTGGATGGCAGCGGCAGGTGAGCCGGATGCGTTTTAATTTCTTTGAATTCTGGTACCATTGGGGGTAGGCCGCGCCTTGGTTGCAAGCTTGTAGTGGCACGCATGGTCTGTAACCCGGCTTCTTGGGTTGCAAATGCAGGTGGTTGGCATTGAATGCCATCTTCTTGCCACTGCAGTGCTAACTTGGATGCAATGGCACGGCATAAATCCCAAGGGTAAGCCGTTTCTTCGGATGTTCGCCAGTGCCC